AGGACTATTTTTATAATTTCTTTTATGGGTTTAGGAACTTGGAGGTCTATTTAAAGCTCCCACCACTTGGAGTCTCTGATTGATTGAAGAAGAATTCAGAATTTATCTAGTTTTTAGAGTCAGCAAGGAGGGAAGGTAGTCATAGTTAAGTCCTGGACTATGCAATATTATGCAAGTGCTTCCGATGCGGACATCCGACGGTGGACGATATTCAAAGGAAGAGTCGAAGATTGACGGCCGAGATCACTCAGTTTTATTTTAGTTTATTAATTGTATTTTGATTTAATTTTACAATTTTCTTTTTTACCCTTTTATTTAAGAGTCTTGTCTTATGTAAGCCCAAGGGGCAAAAGTGACTTTTAGTTTCTTTTGAGACATATATATAGAGGCCTCTTCTCTTGTATTAGGTATGATAGAAATATAATAAAATTTGTGTTCTGCACTTGTGTTCTTTTGGGAGGACGTTAGTGAGTTTGCTATGGGAAGGAATCAAAGTTTTCACCAGCCACATGATGGGTCCGGGCTCGTGGCTTGAAGTCCCTTGGAGAAGGGCAACGTATCACCCGTTAGTCTTCGGAAGAGTTCAAGGCTCACGGTTTTATCTTTTATCTTTTGTTTCTTTGTTTTTGTTCCTACTTATTGTTCCTAGTCGCCATCTTCATCCTCTCCCTACTTCCACCAAACCAGCCTTAGCTCCACCACCACTCACGGCCAAGAGAAAAGCCGCCGGCCCTCCCCTTGGTTTCCTCCCACCTGCACTTGTCATCAAGTCTTTCCTAAATTAGTTTTCATATTTTAGGTAACTATCCTAATGTCAAATTCAAATCTATTTGAATTTGAATAGTTGCATAATTTATCAATCCTATTTTAGGAAACTTACTAATTCATAGCCTATTTAAATTTTGAATTAAATTGGGATGACATCTTTCATTCCAAATTTAATTTATTAATTCAGGAAAGCTTTGAATGACTCATTAAACTCCCTCCTTTATTCCCTTCCTTTTCTTGCAAAATTAATTTGGGAAATATTTCCTTTTAATTCCCCCAATCCAAATTTGAAATTTGAATTGTTTCCTTAAATATAATTCTATTTTAGGAAACTCCTCTAATTTAATTCAAATTAACAAATAAATTAGATTGGAATTAATTTCTTTTCCTTAAGTTGGGATTCCCAAAGAGGCAAGTAACTAAAGCTTTCCCCAATTCTCCCTCTCCCTCTTTGAAACCGTCGGCCCCCTTCCTACCCGCCGCCCTTTCCACCCCCCTCTTGCTCTTGATTGAAGCCTACATTCCTTTTCCGTACACCCACATTTGGGAAGCTTTGATATTACTTATTCAATTCAATTTTGAATTTTGAATAAATTCCTAATATATATTGATCTATTTTAGAAAAGTCTTTAAATCAAATCTCAATTAATGACCTCCACTTATGGCCGATCCCTCCCCTTTCCACATTCCCACTCCAATTAATTCCCCTCCATTAACTAATTCTCTAATTGGATATCCCATTATGAGAATTAATTAATTCAAATACCAAATCTCCCCCACCCCCATACACGTTCTACATGAGCTTCATGTTGTATTTTATTCATTGACCGATAATAATAATAATTTTTTTGTTTTAAAAACTCAAGCCCGTGAAACTAAATCTATATCCAGGACATGAATAATGAGGAAAAAAACACACATAAATAAAAGAATATGACATTTGTTATGTACATATCTAATTTATAGATGGAGATTCTACAACTAAGTTCTTTTAAGAGTAAGTTATATTCGATATTATTTATTGCATTTGTCTCTCACAAGAAAATGGCCATTCAATCTTCTATAAAAAGATAGATTTCCCTTCATCTCTTCTTCTTCTTGGTGGATTTTTAATCAGATTAATTTAGCTATTTTGACACTACAGCATAATACCTAATTCTTTATCTAATGGCATTCAAGCTCTCAGAGTAGAGTTATTTTACCCCCAAGAGGAATTATGCAGCGCAAGCATGGATTATATGTCATGACATTTTAGTTGAATTATCATTGTATTTTTTTTATAAGTTCACGTTTAGTCTTTATGTGTCTTTAATTTAATTTACATGAGAAATATGATCATTTGACTATATTGAATAAATTCGATTGTTCAAATTAATATTATAGCAATTTCTATCATAAATAAAGGTTCACAAGTCATTTGACATTTTGATTAAATTATCATTATATTTCTTTTATTAATTCATGTTTAGTCCTTGAGTCTTAATTTTATTTCACATGGGAATTACAACCATTATATGAGATAAGTTCAATTATTTAATCTTTATCACATAGCATTTTGATGCATACAAATTTCAGTTTTTGTTTTTATTGTAATTTGAATGCTATAGTTATTTTTGATTTTTTATGCTACCCTATGATGGAAGGCAACCAATGATCATGAGTAGGTAGTGCTTTGGGCATATCATACTTTGGGTGTGCTAGTTACTTTGGTGCCTTGGCTCTTGGGCTGATGTGGGCTTCTCAGTTTGGGCTTGGTTGTTCAGGTTTTGCTGCTTTGTTGGGAGCTGCTATGTTTCAGCTCATTATAACTTGTAGTTCACCTCCTTTTTAGCTCATTATGTAGAGTGGTCCTGGTTCTTTCCCCCTCTCTGTTGGCCTTTCGGTTCCTCCGCTGGCTCTTGTCCCGTGGTTGGTTTTCCCTGTACCCCGTGGCTACCTTTTCCTGTCCCCCATGTGCCACTTCGGGTGCTGCTCCTGGAACCGCTTGGCGCCTGCTGGCCTTCTGTTTCCCCTTTCCTGATTGGTTCGGTTGGAGGTGTTTGGAGCTGTTTGGCTGCCTCTTTTCACCTATATATATATATATATATATATATATGTGTGTGTGTGTGTGTGTGTGTGTGTAATGTTTTGGAGCATTTGGAGGTTGTTGTTTGCTGAGCAAAGTTCTCTAAAAAACCTAAGGGTTTCTTCTTGGGAAAGCTTGCAATCTTGTTCCATTTCTCTCCTCCTCTCTTTTATTTCGTCTTGGGCTTCTTATCTCTTTCTTCTCGAGCTATTGGAGGTGTTGGTTGGCCGGTTTGGTAGCATTTGCCGAAGGAGTTTGTGAAGGACGTTGACCCAAGTAGCTATGGTGGACCCTTGGTTTGCATGTCCTTAAGCGCATCTTTTATTTTACCTAGTATTTCGTTGCATGTGAGGTGACAACTAGTCGGTTGTTCTGAGGGTAGCTGTTTTTATTTTTAATTTAGTTTTTGTTTGTTTAACTTTCATTTGTTTGATGTTGACTTTCTACGTTTTGAATCGAGAAAAGTTCTACTAGTCCTGGTGTTCTCCTCTTTTGGTTTTTCTATCTAGATGTCTGCATCACATTTTCAATTATAAATAAAGACTCAAGGTCATGTAATAATAGATTATTATTATTAAATGAAAATGATACTTTGCATGGCTAATTCCCTCTCCTCCTTCCACGGCCTCTACAAGGTTTCTATAAATCTTATAAGTAAGAGCTCAAAATAGCCCAGACTATTAGTAAATGTTCAATCTAGTCTTAAAATTTCATAATATCCAATTTTTCCTCCGATTATTAGAAAATGTATCAATTTAATCTCATGGACAAAAGTAACAGTTAAAATCAACCTTAATAGTTAAATGAGAGGGCACTTTTAATTTTATCATGTATGTGAGATTATATTTTTTTTATTATTATATTAAAATAAATACAAAATGTTGGTTTAGAAGCATAATACCAAGTTAAGTGTTACAGAGATGAGGACGCTTAGGTGGATGAGTGGCTTGACCCTTAGAGATAGGATTCGAAATGAGCATATACATGAAAAGGTTGGAGTAGCTCCAGTGGAAAATAAGATTAGAAAGAGTCGCCTTAGATGGTTTGGTCACATTAAACGGAGGCCTTCCGATGACCCGGTTAGGAATGTTGAGGTATTAGATTCAACTTATGTTAAGAAAGGTAGGGGTAGACCTAAAAAGACTTTGTTATAAAATATTAGAAATGATCTTTATTTATTAGATTTAAATGAGAATTTGACTTTTAACAAGTCACAATGGCGAAAAAGGATTCATGTAGCCGACCCCACATAGTGGAACAAAGGCTTGATGTTGTTGTTGTTGTTGTTGTTGTATTAAAATAAATACAAAAATCACAATGGAAGTTAACCAACTAAATAATAAGAGTTAGAAATTAATAACGTTGTTATCTTCCATTATGATTTTTATATTTATTTTAATATGATAAATAACCAAATATATAAAAATAATAATTTAATCTCACAGACACCCTAATACCTACCCTCACATTTAACTGTTAGGGTAAACTTTAATTATTACTTTTGACCTTGGGACCATATTAAAGCATTTTCTAATAGTCGAGGGACATAATGGAGGCATTATGAAAGTCTGGGACTAATTTAAATATTTACTAATAGTCGAGGGCGTATTTTAGGCTTTTACTATAAATCTTACATTACAACTCTAAGCCACCAGTCATAGTTGTTTCACACTTAACTTTCTTGCTTTTACCACCCGCAGAACACTATTGGTTCCTCAACATCGTAAGGATTCTATTCCTTGTCCTGAATTTGCACTTGATTTTATTATTTAAGCATTCACAACAATATTTCCTGTATTATGCCCTAATTAAATATTAACCAGTCCTAAGAATTTAATGCTGACCAACGTATTAATTTCACAATACTCGCAGCTAATAAAACACTCTTTTTTTTAGTTTCAAAATACCCTTATCACAAACCTTTTCCCAATGATGCTAACTACCATTAACTATATCTACATATAGAATTGAAATAAATCATGCTGATAGAAATTTATAAGCAGGTACTTCCTGGTGTTTATGCAAGAACGGCAAACTAAACGCATGAATGTAGTCATCCCTCAATGATATTGCAGAAGAATAAAATAAGACCGAGACATAAAAAAGAGCTCATGTAAGAAATTTATTGATAGCGAAGAAAGTTAATGGGCCTAAATTAGAAACAAACCTCTGAACCTTGTCGATGCCACAGCAGTCAAAAGCACTTTCAGTACTTGCAGTATTGTACTGTGAATTCCACATGTATTCCCCAGTAAGTCATAAATCAGAATCAACAATCAAATAAATAATCATCTCAAAGATGGATGTATACCTATCAGGTGATGAATTATCAACACAGCCACAGACCATGCTAAGAATATTGGTAAATAGTGGATCACTTTTACCACCTGTCAGACCAGGATCACCTTCCAAGTGATCATAGGCAATGAGTTTCTGATATTGCGCAATTTTAGTTAGAACGGCCACAGATAAAACCTTGAAGGCAAATGAAAGTCGATTCATACTAGTGAGATGACAGAAAATACTAAAACAAAAGATATTTGAAAACAAAAATGGAACGCTTTGAGATGCATAAAAGATCTCCTGCCAGCATTGAGTCATAAAAGGATGATACTAGCGGAACTTTGCATTTATTTGAAAAGGAGGAAAAAAAAAGAGAAGACAGATTAAAAAGACCAAGTCTTCTAACATTATATTCTCCTTGTTGCTTCAGCAATTGGATCAAACACGATGTACAGACCTAGACAATTATGCATAAATTATTCCTCATTTGATGTCAATCATCAGGCTAAGTTCCTACGACAGAAACAAAAAGCACGCTAGAAGAGAATGGAGGGGAAAGTAAAAAGATAGGAGAAACGATCAAAGCACAATTAATAGTTTCATTTGAACATCTGTCTAGGAAAGGAAAAAGAATTCTACTCACAAAACCCCGACGCAAACATGACACTATGCTAATCCGCTCAGGCCATGTCCAATTGTAAAATCCAAGATTTTAAAAAAGTGAAATGAAAATTTCTCCTAAAAATTATATCCTAATTTTCGCATGCCCCAAAAATCAAGATTATTCTTATAAAATTCCATATTTTATTTCAATTATATAGAAGTGTATATAAATAAATAAGTATACTAGCATTTTATAAATGATTTCCTAATTAAATAAAATAACCTACAGTATTTAATTTTACTGATCACCTAGCTAATATACTATACCAAATCAGCAATTAATCCAAATAAGTGACCTACGAATGCCGGTTAAACTAGGGGACAACTGTAAGGGAGAATTAATTAGGTGTAATGCCTAAATACATATGAAATTACCTATAATTATCACACTCTAAGCCATTTAGACGCATTTCCATCCCCAATCTCGTAACAGCTAGACGCTGAAGCAGAAAATAAAAGGGGTCCACAGGTCGGGAAATCGGTGAAGAAAAAGAAAGAAGGAAAGGAAGAAGAGGAAGGGAAAGGAAAGAAGAAAAACAACAAAAGAACGAGGAGGAGAAAAAAAAGAAGAGAGGCTAAGCACAATAAAATAGAGAAGGAAGAAAAAGTAGAAAACAAGGAGAAGGGAAGAAGGAGGAGGATAGAAGAGGAAGAAAAAGGAGGAAAAGAGGACACGTAGAAGTCAATATTCCTGATAAATTTTAGTATTTTCATCCACTAATTGAGTTTGGATTCACCTTTATAAAATTGAAGGCTTAAACGAGGAGAAATCATTTTGCAGTAAAAATATCATTTGAGTTTAATTAATTCAGCTTCGATTTGGCAATTTAAGAATTTATATTAAATTAAGAAGATTTATTATTATTATTAGGTCGATTACAAAAGAACAAGATGTTAAGACAATAAAATCAAGAAAATAGTCTCAAAAAAGATCCTATAGTTCATGTGAGATATTTAATCTCTAATATAAAGAGCAAATTACTTATAGGTATATTATTGTCAATATACATAATTTCATTAATTGACAATGTGCATGTAAGTAGATATTCTTCATTTTGAACATGACACGATCATATTAGCAAGCATAATGTGATGTAAAACCACATACAAAAGGAGCTTGATAAGAAATTTAAGAATAATTGACAATGAAATCTCAATTAATAACTTATTAAAATAACAAGCAAATTCATTAAAGAATCTTAGTTTTCTACTTGCTTAGGCGAAGAAGCACATGTAGAGTAACCAAATCTAGTAGATAAACAAAAATAGTAGCAATGCGAAGAGCTATTAGCTAACAATCCACAATTTAATAATGAGAGTTTCACCTCGGGGATTGATCACTCAACTACACTAGGCTTTGGCGAGAGAAGATTATCCACATTAGATAGGAGAGGAAGCCAAAATCGAGAATTAATTTCAGAGTTGATTTTAGGTTTGGGGAGGGAAATGGACTGATAGTTGAATTTGAATCTCAATCAAGGGCATTATGCCACTGGCGGAACCAGATAAAAGGAGATAAAAAAATTTTTTTGCCCTCCTAAAAAATTTATTTTTGCCCCCCCAAAAAAATTCTTTTGGCCTAACTTGTCCCAAAAATTAACTTTTTGGCCCCCTTAAAAAACTTTTCTAATATATAGATATATATATATTATTTTTAAATATTTTATTATTTATTAATATATATTTTGCACCCCCCTCAAAATGAAGCTGGTTCCGCCCTGATTAATGCTTGAATGGGGAGTTATGAGGGAGCAAAGAGGGGGAGGCCTGGCGGTTTTTGAAAAGAGAGGGGAGGCGGCGGTTTGAAGAGAGAGGGGAGGAGTTTTAATTCAAATTCTGAAATTAATTTCAGTATTGAAAATTTGGGAGGTAAGATTTATTTGAAATTAATGTTTTAATTTCAAATGGGGGAGGGGTTTAATGTGGCATTAGTAAGGGGTAGCCTCATAGGAGGCCGGCGGCATGTGTAGAGGGGAAGGAGGAGGGATAAAGGAGGGGAACCAAGCCTCTTTCACAAAGTGAACAAAAAGTTGAGGGAATTAATATATCTCCTCCAAATTAAGGTTGTATAATGAAATTTGAAATTGAAACTTTCCTTTTTTAAGGATTTCGCAAATAACTAAAGTTTTTGAATTTCAGAATTTTCAAAATTCGGTAACTCTCAATTTAATGCGAGACATCGATCAAGGAGGCCATCAATGATTGATATCATCATTATGGTTTTGAGGCAGCATGTGGCGGGCGGCTAAAGAAGGAGGAGGGGCTTTTGCCGTCGGGTTGGGGATCTTGAAGGAGCTTGGAGTTGAAGTGGAGGAAAGTTAGTGGATGAAATTGATGTGTGGGATAACAGGAACGGGTTGTGTAGTCGGCAGCTATGGAAGAGCTAGGGCCGCGGTTTGGAGAAAGAAAGAAGAGAGAGATGAAAGGGGATAAACCACGAGCCACGGACTCTTCAATGACTGGTGGGTATTGCTTTTGGCCCTCACCTTGGGCTTTCTCTCTCACTTCTCTCTAGCTCTCATGCAAGAAGAGTAAGAGAAAACAAAATAAAATTCTCATCTTTTCAATCATTCACACATCCTCATTACAATAGAAATGACCATATATAATATTCCTCAAAATGACAAATGAAACCAAAAGACTAAAATGCCCACCTCTGGGCTACAACAGCGACCAATATCCATAAGGGTAATAAACGGAAAAACTGAAAAATAAAATAAACTATCAGACATAAAAATGACTTAAAATAAAACTCTGATCGTGGCCTGGCCTCTGGTGTCTCCATGGTACACGTTCGAAATTGTTGACGATGTCTCATCATAATGCCTTTATGCGATCACTATTATAAATCAATTCCAGATATTTTAATTTCGCATCATTTTAATCAAAATTATTTATAAGATAGTATAAATATTTATTTAAGCGCACATAAAGGTTGGTTGTGAAGATATCAAATTTTAACTGACGCACGTTAATACATTGCCATTGATTGCAAGTGATATCATTACAAAAAAAATAGTCTCTCGATGAATAGTCATTAAATTGAAAAGAGGTCAAGAAAAGATCGTGTTATATAAATGAGACTAGGTTGGCAACTATTATAACATGTGCAAGAGGAAGGAAAAAGTTCTAAACAAGAAAAACCTCATTAGGGTAGAAAAAATCTCTAGAATCTCTATTCCTACGACAGTTGATAACTTTAAAATTTAGTTTTTCAGTTTGGGATAGACGTTTCTTACTCGGTTCTTAAAGCAAGCTTAGTCACACGTATAAAATTAATAAATTTTTGTACTATAAAAGCTTTACGAAAACATGTAACAAAAGCTATCCAAACAAAGCCTTAACCTTGATGTCAAGAATCAATTGATAATGTTGCTCATGTAGAGTTGCTCAAGATTTTAATTAGTAAGTTTTAAAGGCTGATAGGGTCCATATGTATAAATGACCAATAGAAAATAGGTTGTAGTAGACTCCAACTAGAAGATAAGATTCAGATAAGTGTCCCATTAGGTATGGTTTGAACACAATAGACGGCCGCCTCCGATGACCGGGATTGGGAAAGTAAGAATGTAATCAGAGTTTAGACATTATGTTAGAAAGGATAGAGGTATGCTGAGAGAAAGCGTTGAGTAAATATTAAAAATGACATTTTCTTATTAGATTCAGATGAGAATTTAAACCCTATAACAGAGGACACTAGAAATGGAGAAAAAGGAATATCATGTAGGTGCCAACACGCAAACAATTAGTGGGATAAACGCTTGTTGAATTAGATGATTTTTCTACTGTATAATTAATGATATTTGATAATATATATTATATATAAATAATTATATATTATTATAATTATGTTATTTATTTTTATATTTGAGGTTGTTTCTTTTTTTAATTAGTATTCAATTTTAATTTCCAATGCTGCGTTTTTATGTTTTGTGCTGATATAACCTAACGATCACTTTTTACTAAAGTATGGACGCCTATGTGGTTAATGTTTTGGACAGAAAGAACTGAGGAGACCAAAGAAGGGGAAAAAGGCCATTCAACCCACTTAGTGAGCTTACAGAAGAATTCTTTTCTCATATTAATGAGGCTACATTAGTTCAGCATTTTATGAGGCTAGAACCAAGTAGGTTCCCAAAATTCAGCCATAATCGCAAGCAGCCAAGGCAATACCGAGAGGCAACCCAAGCAGCCGAAAGACCAAAAAGAACCCAAGATGATTATGACCACACCTTTTGACATGCATCATAAAAGTAGTGAGGTAGATTTGAAATATAAATTAAATAAGGAGGGGAAGCTAATCAAAGTAATAACTGGTAGAAAATAAAAGAGAAAAAATAATAACTTAGTGATTATAGCTACATACATGTGAATGAAAAAAATTGCTTAAAGTAAGTAAATTGTAATAAGAAGAAAAAAATAGAACGAAACAAAGTAACATGTAATAAAACTTGAACCAAAAGATTTAAAACTGCAAGATACACAAAAACAATAATTGATGGCTGGGAGGAACTGAGACGAAGTCAAAAGAAGACCGAGTGCCAAATAATGGAATAAGGTTGATTCATGGACAATGAACATATAATAGTAGCAAATATTTACAGCTGCTTGCAGCTCAAAAATCCCTTTATCGCTGAAGCCTGATACCTAACTGACGATAAAATTAACATCAGGTCAAATATGAAAAAGACGGGAAGTATTTCTCGCAGACATATATACCGATATTACTCAACCACAAAATTAAGCTACAGCTTAAGGTCATTTGGGACGGCTTTGGCGCTGTTGAGTAAAGTAAGCTTGTAAAATTGTTGTACAAAATTGCTTCTTGAAAGTTGCTTTTATAGAAATCATTATATGTAATGTTTGGAATAGTATAACGTAGAACGCTGTTGTGCTGCAAGCTGTATGAGAACCAATTCCCTTCGTACCCTATGCATAATTAATATTTAGATGAAATATAAATAAATATTTTTCAAATTTAATTTTTTTTTAAAATGTATATGATAAATCACTAACCATTCTAAAATAAAAAAATTCATTGGGTATGTTTTCATGTTGTCTTATTAATATAGGAATATTTAATTTGTACCGAAAATAATAATAAATCTGTCTTGAGGTTTACAGGGTAGCCGTTAAATTAGCAAGTGTACTCTGCCTCATCGTAAGAATCTGAACAATACAAGCTCACGTGGATAGACGACGCCTAGCAGAGAACCATTTCTTCTCCGCAGTCATCAATCTTCTCTTCCTGCAAGTTTCTCCTTCGAAACTTTTTCTGAATCTGTGATAGAAGAAGCAATCTCTCCTGGTCTTTACGAAGCAATTATGGCTTCAGCTTCCTACTCATCTAATGATTGCTGTAGCGCTGAGAGCGAGAACTCTAAATTAAACAGTACGACATGGCAGCCCATATGTCTCCCAAGAGAGCAGGGCAAACAAATGATGATGCCCTTACGTACCTCCTACAAACGACCAATCCACCCCCCGTGCTTGACCGTCGTCGACGCTCCGCCAAGCTTTATTATACCGTTCTGTCTACTTCCTCAGCCTCTTCACTCCTCCCAAATCCTTGTACGTGCAAATGGAATGGTATTTGTAGAAAGAAGAGAGAAGAGGAAAAAGGAATAAGGGAGAACAAATAGGTCAAAGGTTGCTTTGGGCGACTACTTCTTTCTCTATCGCCTCTCAGGTCCCGTGCCATCCGAAATAACTCGAAATCCTCTCGCTACGATGGCTAACCGCTTCTTTGCGCCAGATCCGTGCATCGCGAAGATTCAGAAGCTGTGTAATCGCTTACCTTAAGTCAAACCAATGGTATTCTTCCGGATCGTGCCATCCGAGATTGCGGGTTTAGATCCGTCGCGAATCGGCGGTTACAGAAAGCTGATGTCGTAAGTCTTCAGGCAAGAAGCGAGAAGCTTCGACGGCTAGGACATATCGGGGGTGCGGTGCAATTTGGTTTGATTGGAGATAAGTGGAAAAGGTCAT